CCGTTTCAGAATTTGCGAAATGTGTATTTTAAAAATAAGACTGTTGTCAAGATATAGGCCCAAGTTTTTTGTAACTCCTTTCAAGGGAACTTCTGTTCCATCTATTACAATATTCATGAGGCCAGAACAACGACACTGTTCTACCAAAGAGCATGACATTAGATTTAGATGCATTTACAGATAGGCAATATTCAGTTGACAATGATAATAGCATATCGAGATCGGTATTAATTTGCCATAGGGTCTCGTTAATTGAATTCTCGTCGAATTCCATGTACAGCTGAGTACCGTCGGCATAACAATGAATGGTTGCAAATTGCAGTGACTTATGAAATTGAGACGTATATAAAACGGACAATAGAGGGCCTAATATTGAACCTTGAGGAACATCGTTTGTAATTTGTATTAAAAACAGTGTTCCTTGTAATTTTTGTGCCTCTCACCATCAAACTAAACATGCTAAATAGCTGAAAATGTGGAAATATATTCGTGATGAGTATACCAACATGAAAAAATAAATCAAAAACGCTAATCTAATGTACATAGCCCAAGAAATTCAAAAATTCACTCTATTTTTTGAAAGGCACACTATTTCGTCAGGTGCTTGGTTTATAAATGCTTTAATTTCATCTGGAGGAAGAGTTTCTGTCCTTTTCGATATAAAACCATTGCAGTTGCGTTTATTTTAACGGCATGGTTGATGAAAACTACTTCTCAACTCTGAATATTATGTCCAAAGCGAGGATGGTGTATATTTTTCAGCTAATTCGGAAGGAGTACACTTGTTTCCACTTTTAGAATCCATAAAAACGATATTTTTTAAAACAAGAATCGTCAGTTCAACAACAAACGGTCAAATAATTGATGTGTTTCCAATAGTCATAGAAAAACCATTTTTACAGGTGAAAATTTGAAGAAAGAAACAATAAATTCAAAATAGAAATAGAGAACCAAAATATTCAATGATACAAAGATGAAAAGTTTTAAACTAATTATTTCACACTACATCCCGAAGTAAAATTCAACTTCAAAATTGTTCTAATCTAAATTTGAATATTTTTTATTTTCTCGAAGAGTCATTGAGAAATAACCGATTTCAGAATGAATTTCTGTTTGAAATTTTACTCGATTGATATCGTAAGAAAGTAAAATTTCAATACCAAGTCTTCCATGCAGGACATAGACAAATTTTTATCGGATAGACTCTCAAAAAACGACTTTGGCAGTTACCTTTTGACCCACAAAAATACAATACACGTTGATAATCAACAATAGACTAATCGGTTCAACGCATATTCACGGTAAAAATCCTTCAAAGGTTGAATTACCAGACATCCTCACCAACGAAATCAAAGACATCGTCACTTCCCACATCGTCAATCCAACTGATCACTTCAGCTATAAATTCTCCTCGACAATCGAAAACATTCAGTCTTCTCGTCTCCTCGGCTCATTCAGCAAAATGTTCAAATTCCCAGCACTCGCAATAATTTTAGTGGTTCTTCGAGATGTCAAGTGCGGTTACTACCCTGTCGGCATGGGGTTGGCAGGCGGTGGAAATTTGATTGGGGTCGGAAAAATGGCCGGGGGGATGGGAGCTGGGATGATGGGGGGTGGAATGGTAGGCGGTGGAGGGATGATGGCAGGTGCGGGCATGGGTGCTAGAGGAATGGGGGCTGCAGGTATGATGGGTGCTGGGGGAATGGGCATGGGTGGTGTAAGCATGGCAGGAGGAGCAGGAATGGGAATGCAGGGAGCTGGAATGGGCGGGGCTGGACTTATTGGTGAGTAAAGAGTCTGATGAAATTGAGTTTTGATTGATATTCCTGAGGTTCTATACTAGTCACATACCTACTGGTTACATACCAGTAGTTACATACCTACTGGTGTGTAGAAGTCTTGCTTATTGCTTCCTGTGATGCAGTGTCTCTTCTCACCTTCGCATAAAACATGACGAACTGACTCTGTTGCTTTATTGTATTGCCCACCGCTAAGCTCTCCGTTATACAACCCTAGTTCATTCAGGTATCGTTCAATCTGAATGGACAATGTCCACCGTAGGTGCGTGGACAGTAGGGTAGGAATGGCCTCACTTCAGACCAACCCCACTTTTCCACTTTTCGTCATCACCTAGTTGACCAATCAGAAGCTACCGCGCGCTCAGCGGGAAATTCAAATTGTTCTCAACGAGATTTGGGCCTCGAGTTAAAACCGTGACTTGAACCTCGAATTCAGATGAGGTACCTCCAAAAATATATGAGCCCCGATTAGGACCTCGGTGTTGTCCTCGAAATAGGACCTCGAAAGGGTCCTCCCAAAAAAAATGGGGATCGAGATAGGACTTTGAATTAGAATGAGGTATCCGGAAAAAAAAATGTGTGAACCACGATTTGGGCCTAGAAATAGGACCTCAACTTGGACCTCGAATTAAGATGAGGTCACCCCCCCCGCAAAAAAAAGAGCTTCGATTTGGGCCTCGAAGTAGAATCTCGACTTGGTCCTCGATTAGCCCTTGAATTGGTCCTCGATTTGGTTCTGCCGAGTTAAAGCAGTTCTTTCAGTTTTTTTTTTCCAACCGTGTGCGTTTCCAAATGTATTTATGTTTATTACTGATCCATTTTCTGATCTGATTCCATACCATAGATTGTGGTACCCACAGAGGTTGTTCAGAGTTATTACATGGAGCTGATGATCCGTGACTTATAAGTGTTTTCGATGCCCGTTATTCTCAAGAGTCCAGGCAACCGGTATGAAATCAATGTATTTCAGTCCATCAATTCTTTTATTTCTTCATACCGTTTCCAAAACACTCTCGAGGTCACGCTTGTGTTCATCATTGCGTCGAGTACAGCCTGACTGTCTGTGGAAATATTGATTCACTCATTTTGTTGAGCGTTGTTGATATTCCTTGTGAAGTGCAAGATAGATCTGTATTGACCGAGCGGGTTGCTGTAATGTAATATTTTGAGGTATTTCAAAAATGTTACTGGAATGTACGTAGTAACCTGCAATCAAGTGGAAATGGTGTTTCAATATGCTTTGACAATTTTCTGTAGAAATGAATCTATGAAGAATCTGCACAAGTTTTATATACGGCAAACTGAAAAAAGTTCACTAAGCAACGTTACAAAGTGACATAAACTTTAGAAGAAGTCTATTTCATCATTATTAATAATTTTCAACTATAGTTTTCGATGAAAATAACGTTCATAGTCATCTCTGAAAAAAAGTTAACATATGGAAAAAAAGTTTCTATTTGTTTCACTTTGGTCAAAGTTTTTGAAAGAATATTCACGCTGAAATATCCCTTTTTAATTTTCTTTTTCCCTGGTGAAAAACCATATACGACAGAGAATTGTTCAAAGTAAACAAGTCATCTTACAACAGAATATTTGCTAAATCATTAGCTTTTCTGCTTTTTCGTGTGGTTCTTTGAGGATGTTTCTGGTTTAATTTCATTCCTTAGTGTGATCGATAATTAGCGTATTCGGTTTGTCATATACTTAGAGGTTTCAATGCCTCACCAATATTACTTTTCTTCCAAAAAATAATGAGCTGAGAAAAGAAAAAGAACGATAGATCTCGATATATAGGTTTTTTCGATTCGTGTCAAGTTTTCAGACTAATCGAGATGATAAGGATCTTGAATATGTGTGCTCCTTCAGTATACAATGAACACCAAGAAAAGAAAAACCTTGTAGATAGTTCCTACAAAATTTAGGTATCTTTTAATGGATGTTCGTTCAATAAATTTGATTCCTAGAGATAAAGTGTTCACCGTCTAAAAATTTTTATTTCAATTCATTTGGGCTGCAAGTGAAAACTTTTCTCCAGAAATGGCTACTTATATATTTGTGTTTCAATAAATTTGATAATTTTTGGATTCATCAATACAAAAAGTGAGCAGTAAGGTGGAACTTAGCCTGTGATACGTTTTCATTTTGTATTCATGACAATTTTTTCAATTTCAATACTGAGACAAAGTAATTTCCAGGAATGGGAACAGGTGCTGGAATAGCTAGCGGAGGCGGGGGTATGATGACTGGAGGGGCAGGTATGATGACTGGAGGAGCAGGTATGATGACTGGAGGCGCGGGTATGATGACTGGAGGAGCAGGTATGATGAGTGGAGGAGCAGGTATGATGAGTGGAGGAGCGGGTATGATGACTGGAGGAGGAGCAGGTATGATGACTGGAGGAGGAGCAGGTATGATGACCGGAGGAGCTGGTTTGATGAGCGGAGGAGCCGGTATGATCGGTGGAGAAGCAGGTTTAATGGGCGGAGGTGCCGGTATGATTGGAGGAGCTGGTTTGATTGGAGGTGCCGGTGGAGGCGCTGGTATGGGCATGTACGGATATGAAGGTGGAGAAGTAGATCAAGGAGCATACAGCGGGGGGAACCAGAAAGTTAACGACATGCGTTATGAACAGGCGCACGGTAACCAAGGTGGACAATTCGATAAAGGTGAATCTGGATTCATGGCTAGTCACTTTTTGACTTGAGTATGTAGTTCCCCAAAATATTGTTAGTACAATTACCAAATATTATTCCCGTTCGTGAAAACGAGTAACTCTTTTACATCGTTCAAAGCATTTCAGTAACATTTGACATTATTTCATTTCAAGGCAAAAACGAAGGTCAGATGAACATGATGAAAGGTCATAAGAAAGGGCACAAAATCAAGGGATTCAAGAACTCTCATCAAAAACAAGAAACCGGAAAAACTGAAGAGTTCTACGACGAAGACCACGACGAAGGTGGCAACTATATCTTCAACGGACAGTCTGGAAGTTTCGGTGAAAACGCTGGATCCTCGTACAAAGGGGGCCAACAAGACGGCAAATTCAATACCGCCGAAGCCAAAAAGGAAGGGCACTTCGTCAACGAACTCCTTGCTGACAAAGCTAACGCAAATCAGGGCCGTTATGGAGAAGCTAAGTATGGGGGAAATGGGGCAACTTATGGAATCAACAATGGAGGCGGCGTTAACAGCATGGCGGGACATCATCATTCCAGCAAGTTCTTCAAACATCATCCCTTCTATCATCACTATTACTGAAATGACCTCAGGAAAATATTTTCGTAGTTAATCATTTTAATGTTTAAGGTACCTACATTTTACAATTATGAAGTTTCAACTGATCTGTCATCTAACTGAAACACATCAAACTTATTATTGTAGAGACGTATTGACATACTCAAGATTCCATTATTATGACGCCGTTTCATTATTTTTTTCAATAGGTATTGATAATGTTCAATCTACAACGAAATTCAGTGGAATTTTAAGCAAACACGTAGTTATTTAAGACATAATTAATCGATAGCTTTAGGTGATAATTCGTAATAGATTTTACTGGTAATATTGAATTATAAGTAATTTATTTCAACATATAGGCAATTGATAACGCATATTTTAAGTACCGAGATTGATAATGATGATGAACGCTATGACCTGGATTATTCTTTGCATATAAAAAATCCAATAAAAATGAATGTTCAACGTGAATTTGATCTTTTATTTCGCAGTAATCACCATTATATCATCAATTACACAGGCCAACCATGAAAAAACTTTTTTACAAGACCAGATTTGGTTTCAGCACACATAAATCTATTAAAATCAGCTATTAAAGTAAACAAAGTTTTCAAAAACATTTTTTTATTGTAGTATTCAATCAAAATATACCGTATTGTCAAAAACGAAATCTTAATGACAGCATTGGTAACCTATCTCCATACTCACGTTACTCTCAAAAATCAAAGAAAAACCGGTGAAAAAAAGAGTATAAGCTTTTCTTTTTAAATACAATATTTTAACCAATGTCAATTTGGCTTTCAGCAGGCAAAAGTCACGAATGATGCAATCTTTTCCTTTTTTAAACATGTCTACACACATCTCAACAATGGTAGTTCGTAGCTGCAGTATTCTGCGACTTTCCTTAGTTCTTGAGGGCTAATATCTGCACATACCTGTCGAATTCTTGCACAAAGTTCATTTCTATCTCTTGAGCGGTTTTTGTAAACCTTTTGTGTGAGAAGTCCCCAGAGAAAAAAGTCCAAAACTGTGAGGTCTGGAGATCTGGGTGGCCACTCTATAAACGGACTACCACGGCCTATCCATCGGTTTGGAAAATGTTCGTTAAGCTATTGTCTCACAGCTCTGGCATAATGAACTGAACACCCATCTAACTGGACAATTAAATTTGATCGTTCATTGATTGACAGCTCGTGAATATCATCCCAAAACTCTAGAGTTTAAACATTCTAGAAACCTCTGCGCATTAATGTTTTCCTCAAAAAAAAGGACCAATAATTCGTTCGTTCAATATCCCACACCAGACGTTGCTTTTTTGGGAATACTGGCTTTTACAGTTTATTACCCAGTTGGGATTATCCGCTGCCCAATAGCGATAATTCTGTGATGCCCATTTGTAGTGAAAGTGGCTTCATCGGTATATAAAATATTTTTTAGGAAATTTCTATTGTTTAAATATTCCCCTTGGGCCCATAAACAATATTTCAGGCGTCTTGCTTCATCGCCTTCTTGAAGTGAGTGTAAAAATTTTGGCTTGAAAGGTTTAATATTCTTCGCCTTGAGACATCTCCGAATAGTTTCTTGTGGAATATTCAAATCTAAAGTGGCATTCCTTATACTGGCATTAGGATTATTTCCGAAATAATCTAAAATGATTTGATCATTCCCGTCATTCCAGTTTCGTCTTTATATAGGATTACATTTTAGCATCATTTTTGATACTGCCCCAGTTTCATTGAATATTTTATTTACCGTACCGCAGCTAATACGAGAACGATCTGGATGTATCTCATTAAATACTCTACAAACCTCTCTAGCACTTCTAACGCTATCTCCCGAAAGGCATACAATTTCAATTTTCTCTCTTACGCTCAACCTTGCAGCCATGTCACAAAATAATTCGAAGAACTGTAAGGTGAATATTGTTGACAATAGTACACTTAAATCTTTCACAAGTATCAAACTGTAATACCATTTCCATGGCAACTAAGATTTAAATTGAAATATTAGGTCTTAGTTTTAGTTAATTTATTCAAATTTTAGGGGGGTGCTTCCATTAAAAATGGGTCACACTGTATGTAAATGACCTTATTACTCTCTCAGTTCAAGGAATTTTTACGATCTTCGCGGATGACGCACGCTTCTTTGGATGGAAATACTTCAAATATGAAAAAAACTACCTATCTCAAGGGATTTAGAAGTCGTGAAAAAATGGTGTGAAGCAAACTACTTGTGCTTTAATATCAAAAAAATTAACTTACCTTCAGCTGTAATAATAACAATTTATACTTGAGTGGACAAATTATTGAGAATAAAAACCGCGCGTTTCACAAATCACCGACCAAAAATTTCTGAAACAACCTAAAATTTCTACGAACGACAACCCTCAAAAATCAAAACCTGTGCTGGCTGAGGATTAACGAGGTCTTACCTTTTAACGTGCGGTTCCTAGCACGGATTGGACGATAGACGGCAATAATCAATCGTCGGCCCCTAGGGCTCGAACCACCGTTTCACATAGCAGTTGATCGAAGGAGTAGAGTGAAGCATTTACACCAACCAAACTGGCTACCGTCCCATTACGAATAGATTTGGGTGCTTCAATCAAATACATTCACCAAAGCTAATTATTTAATGTAATTGCAGAAACAATGACTTTAAAGCTACTAGCAATCATTTACAACACATTGAAGAAAATTGAGCCTATTATACAATCACATTTATAGTAAAATCTATTGTCAGCAACAACATAGAATAGATGAAGTATAAAATATATCTATAACAGCCTTAGCTCATTGGATCAAGTTTGTCGATATAAATATGCTGGGTTAGAGAGATTGTTGTTTGTTCAAAATGTGTGAAACTTAATAGCAATAGTGACAAATGAAACCTCGAGCTGAGAAAATATTTAAACCTTGGTAGCAATTTGATCACTTTGGGCTACTCTAAATCATCTATTTCTGACTAGAAATATACATTTCATTTTAGTGGGGTCAACAATGAACCTTGTCTTCAACAAAAACTCTTCTATTTTGCATTACAAACTATCCAACTTGCCCATTTCTTCCAAGTCTCTGGAAAAGTAATCCTTCCGCTCAACTCACTGTTCTGGAGATGATGGCATTTCATCCAGGAATTAGTGTTCTCGCCCATCGTTGTCAAGTTCCGTCGAATAACTCAGGAAATTTTTTGAAGCGTTGGAGGACGTTTTGAACTAAATATTTATTATTGTATGGATGCGGAGGGTCCATTTGAACAATCAACTGAGTAGTGTACAAGCAGTTGAACGAATTTAAATTTTAAAATTTCATACTAGGAGGTATTTTATACTTCAAGACTTGTAGAAATAATGTTCCCTCTTTGAATTCAATTTATTATTATTATTACTTGATTTTTACAAATTACCTGTTTTTATAAAATTATATTGTACTGCAATTGTTATTTTTAAATCACCTGTTTTACTAGAAGTAATGTTATATCTAATTGGGTTCTGGCATAATATGCCAATAATCAACATATTCATTACCTGATTTTCTAAAAGTAATGTATTGTAATTTTTATTTTTCAAATCTAATTGTTTTTTCCAGAATGAATCATATATCTACTGCCTAGGCTGAAAAGTCCCGGGCATAACACATAGATGGCGCCAGTCTCATTGCATTCATCGCTTTTTCAGTTAGTACTAATCTTCGAAAGAAGGATGTTGAAATTCCATGATATTCTACTCAGAAGTGTGTGAGCTACTGTGCTGAAAGTGACACTACTTTCGTTATTTTCAAAACAATGGATCAAAAACGATTTCGAGTTCCAATTTTACACTGCTTCTTGATTATTACTGGTTTTTTCCCAACACCAAATCGTTATTTTCAACACCTCGACTCGTGTTTCGATTACCAAGTGATCATCCTCTTTGAAGATGATCACTTGGTGATCGAAACACGTGTCGAGGTCTTAAAAATAACGATTCGGTGTTGGGAGAAAACTCCAGTAATATTCATTGCTACGCTAAAGATTCCAAACAGTGCATCATTACTGCTTCTTGATGGGAAAAATACCGTTCAAGCGAAGCAATGGTTTAAAAAGTGGTATAAGGACTCCGCTCCATTAGAAACACCAGTTAAACGTTGGTTTGTTGATTTCAAATGTGGTCGTAGAGACGCCGATGATGCAGAATGCAGAGGACCGCCAAATGAGGCAGTAATACCAGAAAACATTTTCAAAAATCCACAAAATCGTTTTGAATGATCGAAAAGTAAAGTCGCATGAGTTAGCTGACATTGTAAATACAGGGTGGGCCATTGAAAACTTGACATGGAGGTTTTGGGTACTAATCTTGCAAATCCGAAAAAAACGCTCAGACAGGTCGATTTTTATTGGGAGAGGGACAGTTTTTTCCCTATTTACAGCGTCGTCACTTCAATCCCGGAGCAGAGGGGTGAACAACCCTTGTAATTTTAATAGGGAACAAATGAGACGACACAAGTGGCAATTATGGCCATGTTGAGCTTGAGAAAGTTAGCATTTGTTTCCGGGGTGTCACGAACTAGCATTCGGCGTGTTTTAAAAACCTACAAAATGCATCCTTACAAGATTAAATTAACACAAGAACTGAATGAAGATGATTTCGATCGACGCTTACAATTTTGCGAGTTGGTTAGTGAACGAGCGGTGGAAAATCCACATTTTGTTTTCAACATTTGCTTCAGTGATGAATGTTCTTTTTTCTAAATGGCACAGTTAATCGCCATAATTGTCGCTATTGGGCTGATTCAAATCCTCACATTATTCATGAAGTGCATACTCAACGTCCACAAAACTTAAATGTATGGGCTGGAATTTTTGGTGACCGTATTGTTGGCCCATTGTTTTTAGAAGGTAATTCAACCGGACAAATGTATCTGGAGCTTCTCGAAGATACTTAATAATCACCTTCTCACTGATATTATTGAAAATGACCACAATTATCGGGAGGATCTGTTAATATTTCAACACGCTGGGGCTCCTCCGCACTATGCTCTGCCTGTTCTGCAGTATTTAGATCAGACTTTTCCGGATCACTGGATTGGGACACGGGGCACTATCGAATAGCCACCACGATCACCAGACCTTTCGCCGTTAGATTTCTTTCTGTGGGGTCATTTGAAAAGCAGAATTTACTGTACTCCTCCTGTATCACTCGAAGATTTACGACAACGAATCACAAATGAATGTCGCCAAATCACTCCAGAAATGCTCCACAATGTTCGAGAACATTTCCAGCAGAATCTCTATTATTGCATGGAAGCTGGAGGTGCCCATTTTGAGCATATGCTAACATGAGAATAAAGTACGTAACTTCAACTCTAAATTTAATATGGTTCGTCCAAATTAAAAAAAAATGTACACCGTTGGTTAGAAAATTCCAAGATCTTTCAAATAATGTACGACTCGCCCCCAGTTCCCTATTAAAATTCCAAGGATTGTTCACCCTTCTGCTGTAATGACGCTGTAAATGGGGAAAAACTATCCCCCTCCCAATAAAAATCGACCTGTCTGAGCGTTTTTTAGGATTTGCAAGATTAGTACCTAAAACCGCATGTCAAGTTTTCGATGGCCCACCCTGTATATCAAAAGAAGTGTTGGCTTTATATTGCATGAGCATTTGACTACAAAAACAAGAACGTCTTGATGATTCTGAGCAGTATTTGTCCTTATTTAAACATAACGAACCGAAATTTTTGCGTCGATATGTGACAATGGATGAAACATGGATCCATCACTTCACTTCGTAATCAAAACGATCATCATCTGAGTGGGGAGCAACGTTATTGGAGCGTTCAAAGGCCGAAATTACAAAGAAACTACCGCATATGGTAAAGAAAAAAATGTTGTTTCATCAAGACAACACACTGTATCACAAGTGAATCGAAACAATGGCAAAACTACATGAATTCAACTTCAAATTGCTCCCACATCCACTGTATTCGCCAGACTTGGCTCCAATCGACTACTGGCTGTTCGTAGATCTCAAAAAAATGCTCACCGGTAAGAAATTTCGCTCCAATGAAGAGATTATTGCTGAAACTGAAGCCTATTTTGAGGTAAAAGATAAATCGTTCTACAAAAGTGATTTTGAAATGTTAGAGCGGTGTTGGAATGATAGTGTAGCTCTTGATCGAGAATCCGTTGATGAATACAGCCAATTTTGAACAAAAAAAAAATGCTTTTTTTTTCTCAGGCCGTGACTTTTCAGCCCATGTGTTAATTGAGTTTTGTCCACAATTAACATATTGATTACCTAATTTCCTAGAAGTAATATTGTATTTTAATTGTTTTTTCAAAATCTACCTGTTTTGCTGTTTATATAATTAAGTTTTGACATGAAATGCTAATAATTAACAAATTTATAAATTACCTGTTTTCCTATAAGTAAAATTGTAAAGTTTTACACATGGATCAAAAAGTTATTTCCAATTCTGAGAGAAACATGACTTTCCTATATGAGTAACTCGACAATTAAATTTCATATTAGTCAGTGAGCTATGCTTGAATACTGGCAGTAAACAAATCTAAAGAAATGAACTTTGAATGTTCCAGCTAGTCTCAGATATACCTACACAGTAGGTTGAATGGACTGACGCCTATCAGAAAACAAGTACTCCCTGGCTAATACCACGAAGGGCGTTGGATTATATCCAACGGGCGTCAGTGCAGGAATCTTCAGAGAAAGTTTACTACATACGCAATTGGCAATACAACTAAAAAAGTCGACCTTCAATTTTGGAATGGGCACACTTGCAGACCGGTTTCGGGCTCATTGGCCACACATCAGTGCAAGACAGTGGCCATCATCGACCTGAAGTCAATGATATTCCATAGTTGGAAATCGGAATTCTTCCAGAGTATTTTATTACTCTTCCTAAGGTGGAGGGAACAATAAAATATCACTCCATCTAGTGGATGAGGTACTAACCAACTGCTAGTTCGAAATTTTACAGATTCCTCTGAATAAGGAAGAAAAATTTCCTTATTAGTCAGTGGGCTATGCTTGAAGACAGGCAGTAAACAAATCTAAAGAAATGAACTATAAATGTTCAAGCTTGTCTCGTTCATTTCTTTAGTAGATTTGTTTACTGCCTGTTTTCAAGCATAGCCTACTGACTAATAAGAGTAACTTGACAATTAAATTTCAAACTATACAGTGACCTATAAGTGACAAAGCTCAAGTGATACTTTGAGATAAACATAAGAACTGAAATGACTGCAATGCCTAGAACTTTAATGTTAATACTGTAGAGTTTGTTCAAAGTAATTAGATATCCGAATAGATGATTTCAGAGTAGATTAGGTTAATAACGAAAAACACACAACTTCGAAACTTGAAACCAGGGCACACCAATTTACTGAAGCGTTTTCCTACTATATTCTGTAAAAATATAAGTCATGATTGGAATGTCTGTTCATTTAGCGTAAAGACAACTACAAACAACTTCATGATAGCCGTATCTATCATCGTATCACGCAAACATCTTGTAAACCCACGCTTACAAATATATTACACAGGAATATTCAGGAAGAGAAAGTAATCTTTGGTATGGCAAAATATAAACTAAATGTTATCGTAGTTGACTAGATCAATAGGTAAAGTTGTGACGAGGAAACACAGCTGTGGCCCTTCTTTCTTCCGGATCCGACAGGTTACGATAACGCCTCACCAGAACGACACCAGCTATCTATGAAAATAGAAGATTCATCAACAAGTGAGATAATTAACTAGCATGTGTTCTTGATTCTATGTAGTCCATCTTCTAGCTCTGGTTCAATACGTGAAAACATATTGAAAAAAAATTTATTGTGAGATTTTCACTAAAACAGTTTTACGAAAACGCAACATGTGTTTCGACACACAACGGCTTCTGCAAGCCCTAATTTGCCAAATGAACTACCAGATAATCAAAAAATGCCAGAACACCAAATACATTTTTCCAAAAACCATGCTGCTGTATACTGTAGTTAAATAAATCCAAATCACATGCAATTCATTAATATTTCTCCATACGAGGGTTGCCTTTTATGTTTTGGAAGTTGGCAACCCTGGTGTTGCAATCTGACAAATGACAGCTCTATCGTAAAGTTGGACATGTTTGAGCTTATACGTACTCAGATCATTTTGACATACGCGCGCTATTTGTGTTGTTTACAGTAACTTAAAAGATTCATCTCAGCCCAATAGATGGAATTAAATGGTGAACATTTTCGTGCGATTATTTTTTACAACTTTCGACGTGGATTAACTCAGCAACAGTGCATGGATGAACTTAATTCAATTTTTGGCGATGAAGCTCCATCAAGGACCAGTGTTTATCGAAGGTATGGTGAATTCAATCGTCGTCGTAGTTCACTCCAAGACGAATTTCGTGAAGGTCGTCCAAAATGAGTTGTTGTTACGAAAACCATTGATGCTATGCGCGAACTGATATTGCAAGATCGTCATGTGACCTATCGTGAGATTGAGACAACCTTAGGCATTAGTGGGACCAGCATACACTCAATATTGCATAAACATTTGACTGTTAAAAACATTTGTTCGCGTTGGATCCCACACAATTTGTCAATCGCTCAAAAAAATGCTCGTGTCGATTGGTCGAAGGAAATGCTCAAAATATCCGATCGCGGTGCTTCGAAACACGTCTATGACATCGTGACAGGTGATGAATCGTGGATTTACGCGTATGAGCCCGAAAATAAACAGCAGTCGACTGTATGGGTGTTTCAAGATGAGCCAAATCCAACAAAAGTTGTTCACGCACGAAGCACTTCCAAGCAAATGGTCGCCTGTTTTTTCGGAAAAACTGGACATGTCGCAACCGTACCACTAGAACAACGTAGAACAGTCAATTCTGAGTGGTACACAAGCATTTGTTTGCCAGTTGTCTTCCAAGAAATCAGAAAAACCAACCGCCGAAGACGGATCACTCTTCACCACGACAATGCGAGCTCTCACACATCGGCTCAAACAACTGCATTTTTGAGCACCCAAAACATCGATTTGATGAGTCACACGCCGTATAGTCTTGACTTGACACCGAATGACTTCTTTTTATTCCCGCACGTAAAAAACAAACTGAGAGTTCACCGTTTTTCGACACCTGAAGAAGCGGTTGCTGCTTTCAGAATGCATGTTTTGGAGATACCTCAATCAGAGTGGCAAAAGTGCTTCGACAATTGGTTCAAACGCATGCAAAAGTGTATACATCTTCATGGGGAATATTTTGAAAAACACTAGAGTGATTTTCGATGATTCACATTTGTTTTTGTTCTCTAACCCCGAAATATAAAAGGCAACCCTCGTATTCACAAGAATGATAGATTTTTCCATTATCGCTCCACATAAATATAGGAATTTCAATTACCAATGGAAAGATCCACCATGAGCAACTATAATAAGTGATTTTAAAAACCCACCCATTTGTAAAGAATTGCTGCACTATAGAAAAGCACTCGGGTTAGCTCGAGGATCTTTCTGGTTACGGTAACGCACTGTTAATAGCACTCCCATGAACTGAAACATGCAACCACAACCTTCATAAATATGTACAGAAAAGATATACAATATCTCAAATTTACCACTTTCCATACAATATATTAGGTTGTTTTAAAAGTTTTGTATGTTTTAATGTCATGTGTCAAATTTGATGATATTGAGTTTTTTTTTTTTTTCCTTGTACAGAGATATGCACCACAAGCATTTATGCTTAGGTAACCTCTGTACAGGATTATATTATATTATATTACTATATTATCTGTAACAATCTGTAAAAAATGACAATTATGGAATGGATGAATACAAGTTTGATTTGATTTGATTTTAATTTGATATTTTCGACCAATTTTTCTTTATTCTCAAATTGAACCAAAGCGCTCCCGTGACAACTCGAAAAATTAACCAATTATCACAGCAGAGTCCCATTGTGAGGAAATCGACGAAATGTACCGGAAGTTCCGTCAGCATTAGATTAGATTGTCGGGGATCTAGCCCATGGTCTGATTCACTGCAACCTTTTTGACACTGATCCCTTCATATAGCTGGCAGCTTCTGATTTCTCCGCATCTTGCGTGTCACAGCCTTGCTATCGCTTCCTTCCTTCCTCTTCTTGACAGAACCTGAATTGGGTTTCTTCTGTCAGACCCATGTTGCTCATATGTTGTGGCTATGTCTCGTTAGTAGACCCACCACTACTCTTTGCAACCTTACGATTGTGGTTTAGCAGGTCTTCCGTGAATCTGACAATGGTTTCTTCATGAACCCTTTCGCCTGCCTCATTCCTGGGAGCTTATTCCACCAATCTATCGATTCGGCTTGTATCCATGAGTTTATGGATGTTTTTATACATGCTTTCGCTACTCCGCAGAAGAGTTCTGGGCCAATCATAGCCTTGGATGCGCTTTCACGGGCAACAACATCGGCCTCCTTATTGCCCATGTGACCCTCATGTCTGGGTACCCAAGCTAGAGTGACCCTATTTTGGTTTCCGTCAGCAGTAGCCGGCGCTGGTCAGCAGAAGAGTTCCGATTCTGCTCCACGACAACGCCCGTCCGGACGTTTCCCACACCATCGTCCGAAAATTAAACGAATTGAGCGTAGAAGTTCTGCCTCGCCAATCATACTTCCCAAATTTCCCGCCAACCGACTACAATTTTTCCCACTGGCAGAACCTTCGCCAATCAGGACCAGGCAAAACGGCCTTCGTCGACTCAATCGAATCCCGGGCAACCAATTTTTATGCTGGCGGATTCAATTGACTTGTGTTATGATGACATAAGTGCACTGATTCAAATAGGGCTCAATAGGGCAAGTTTAATGAGTAATAACTGAGATATTAAAGTTTAAAGTAGACTCATAAAAACGGGCAAAACTTTTTAAGCAACCTAATAGTAGCCTTCATTCTGAATAATTACAAATCAAATTTCAATCATGATACAATTATTATATTCTATAAACAAATTTCAGAAACATTTCAGGAAGTTTAAAAAAAATAATTATTGCTCTGTGATCTGTGATTCGACTACTGTCTCAGTTAAAGAAGAATCTTTTATAATTTTCGAGTATGCAGTTAATAAGGGGATGGTAAAACAAGTAAACTCTTTTTTCTGTTCTAGCTTTCGAGTCTTTATTGGCCCTTCATGAGGAACTGAAAGTGAGGTTAGTAATCCCTTGCACTTTCCGCGATTTGTATACATAACATTTCCCAAACGACAAACACTCTTGGTATAAAACAACATGAAAATAAAAACTTTACATCATATAATGATTGAATATAATAAATCATAGTCTCCTAAGGAGACTTGTGTAACTAATCTTAATGAACAAAAGTGTATGGAATGAAAAAAAATTATATTTTAATATTAAAATAAGATATAATGAACACTTAGCACACCTGAAATATGGAAGACCAGAAAAAAACAGCAGTCGCCCATCATGTTTTGCAACAAAACCATTCCATAGACTTTAGTTTATCAAGATTAGTTAGACAAGTTAATGACAACAGGCATCAAGATTCCTACGAGATTGTATAAATAAGTAAACGTGATAATATTATGAATAACGATGGTGGATCAATACCTAATATAGGGTGATTTTTCAAGAGGTATAGGATTTGTTTTTCAAAACAACACAAAAAATTAGAAAAAATGATGAAATCTTTGTTAGAATCGATAGAATGATCAATATAATTTAATGTTTGAAGATGATTTCATGCAAATGTTGTCCGCGACTCCGCTTTAGATGGCCCATGCGCAAGGTCCAATTTTGACACACTCTCTCTAACATATCGACCGGTATTTCACGTATAAATGCTTCAATATTAGCTTCCAGAGCGTCAGTTGTGGCTGGTTTATCCCTGTAGACATGAGCCTTAACATGACCCCACAAGAAATAATCCAAAGGCGTCAAATCACACGATCTAGGCGGCCAATTGGCCCCAAACGTGAGATAAACTGTTCACCGAAGGCGGCTCTCAATTGGGCCATTGTTTCGCGTGCCGTGTGACATGTGGCACCGTCTTGTTGAAACCACATGTCAGGCATGTCCAATTCTTCATTTTGGATAACAAAAAGTCGTCAATAATCACAGTAACGTTCCGGCCATTGTCGTCTTTGAAGAAGTACGGCCCGATGTACGATGTACGGCCACCGATCCATAATCCACACCAATCAGTGACTTTTTCGGGATGCATTGGTAGCTCTTGCAATGCTTATGGTTGGTCTCCACTCCAGATGCGGCAATTTTGCTTGTTAACGTATCCATTCAACCAGAAATGAGCCTCGTCGATGAACACAATTTTTCGATAAAAATGTGGATCTTCCTCCAACTTTGCCAGCGCCTATTCACCAAATGTTAGACGTTGTGGGAGGTCGTGTGGCTTCAATTCTTGCACCAGCTGTATCTCATAAGGTTTTACACCCAAATCCTTTCGCAAAATTTTCCACGTAGTTGATTAACAGAGGCCCAATTGCTGTGAACTGCGGCGAATCGACATTTCACGGTCATCACGAATACTGGCGGATACAGCCGCAATATTTTTTTCGGTCCTCACTCTACGTTGGTGGTTTAATGTCCAATAATGTAAACTGGGTTCGAAATTTACTCACAAGCCTCGAATAGCTCCCTCGGTATGCCGACGAAACTGCCCATAAATTGGAAGACGTGCATGATGCACTTTCTTCACCGAACGTGAATTTTGACAATAAAATTCAATAATTTGCAAGCGTTGTTCATTCGTAAGTTGATTTATGGTTAAATTATAGACCAAACTGAACAAGTTTGACAATGATACAAGACACGATTCACACGTGATCTGTCAAAAACAGTGTTGCCAAAAAGATTCCAGCAAAAAAATCATTCATTAGTTTATTACATAGCTTGTTGAAATAATAGTTTTAGTTATTAGATTTACCTGACTAGTAGGTCAGGCAACACTGTGAAATTAATTTTAAGACAATTGAGATGCAGGTACCTAGCAGAGGTATCTACGGTATAAATATGAACAACATTGTACGTAGATTTAGTTTATTCTTCCTCTTGAAGATGATCACGCGAGTTGAGGTGAAAAACATAACGGTTTGGTCTTGGGATAAGACTCCAGTAATATTTATTACCATACCAAAAGTTCCAAACAGAGTATCACAAGTACTTGATACATGAGTTAATAAAATTATATACTTTTCTCATACAAATCAAATATTGATCAGAAATAAACATTGTACTGTGTAAACATATTCAGATAGGATTGATTGAACTGTGATTAATATAACAGATGAAGAATACTAATTTAATCTGTGATAAGAATAGAAAAATGTAAATATGGATCAGCAGATTGAGAATGGTACCTACTATTACCTTACGAAATTAATCACATGCAATTATACTGGCACTGCCATTAGTTCATAATCTAATCCTAATACGTGAAATTACATTATCTACACAGAATACAATTATGATGATACTCTTTCAAGAAATTGAAATTTGAAAAAATACTTTTTACTCACCTCTGAAAAACTGAAGAACAAACCTATCCAACCGCATAATTTAAAAGCATAATTTATAGTATTCTGTAATTTGGTCATACAAGTCGGGCATTGACAGTTTGGTATATTAGGGTCCTTGCAGCACGATTGCTAAAAAATAAAATAACATAAAAACTGGAAAATACACAATTTAAATTTGTGATTTTTGTATCAAAATAGAATACACATGTAATAAAATAAATAAATATTCATTGACATAGAATAATTCGGTAAAAACTGTAAAAATAACTAAAATTGTGAATATGAAACACTCCTGAAAAGTTACACATTAGAACTTCTGCTTGAGTTCTGTCTCGTCCACCATACTCCCCAAACCTCTTGCCAACGGACTACCATTTTTTCAAGCACTGAGATATTACAGTTTGAAGTGGACTCATAAAAACGGACAAAACTTTTAAAACAACTAGTACTTGCTGGGGCTCCAAAATCCATTTCAACAGATGTAGTTTTTACCATATTAAAATATTGAGCGAGATATAGAAAAAAAGCATTCTAAATATCATTGATTCAACTGTCAACATTTCCTACTAAAAATGAAAACGAATACAGTTTGATATTATGGGAGATCACATATTTTTTTCAAATTGATTCAAAGACTCAAAATGAGAGTACTTTACTCTTGTCTCAAAATCAAATATTTGAAGGCATCTCGTATATTAAGTAAGTTTTACTGTATCTTGTTAGTTCATGTTTAGTTTTAGGGGATGCACAAACTTTTATCAAGAAAAACTTTTTGTCGAAAAACCCTTAATAAATAAATTTCCATATGGTGCATACTTTGGGGATGACACTGTACATTATACTTTTGAATGCATTAAAATGAGTACTACCTCCACAGTATCACAAGAAGGGCCATGAAATAGCTTATCCACATTCCCATCAAACTGGCAGCAGCCGAAAACTTCTTGAACCGTTGCTCTTGTGGCATTGTTACTTCGCTTCCATCCTTGTTCTGCTAGTTGATTTTGTTGTTCACTGTTAACACCAAGACAAGCACAAGCGACGGAGAATTGGATGAGGAATAACAGAAAGAGAATTACCATATACTATGACAGAGTTAAGGAAAATGAGTATGTTGGTCTGTTAGACGAGTATGGGGTCTGTTAGATGTAACTCACTGGTAGTTAATTTTTTCCCATACATATTTCATAACTTACAAACTATGAATTGAGAGATTAGGTCTCTAGTCACTAATCGAATAAAATATTGAGTATATTTTCCCCTCAAACAACACAATTTCTGAAGTAGACTAGAATAGTGTATACTAATATGGGAATGTTCATTTATTCTTTTTATCATAGAATCAATTAAATTTTCCATTTTTTCCACTTTTCTAAATTTGCCAAAAAACAAGTGACATCCAAATCTTCTTAAGACATCATTTCAAACAAGCAAGAAAACAACTAAGCTATTGTTATTCAGAACATGTAATAAAACAACTAGGTTAATGAATGTGGGTTGATTGAATGATAACCCTTTGACTACTTCCTGTAACAGAAAGGATACGAAAAATAGCATAACTTGGTGATGTTTCACTGCTCCAAGTAACCCCAATACTGATATCAGTATTAATATAATTCCGCATGCTAAAATCCCTCCTACGATGGGTAGATTCGAGACTATTGATGCAGCACTTCCATAAACTGCAACCCCAATCAAAACAAAAGCGACCAACTAAAAGAAATTATATCAAAGATATAATAATGAATTGAAGAAAAATATTTTCTCTTACGATATATAAAACATTGAGAGCAATGAGGGCATTTTTCGAGCAGGTAAATCCTCCACACATTGTAAATTCATAAAATAAGGAATCTGAAAAATTCAGCAAAGATAAGTGAAAACAAATTAACCGGCACTGACAACTGATCCTGATACTGACACTGACACTAATAGCTCAAAAGGCGAGTTCTTGAAATTCAATTGTAAAGGCGCGTTCTTCAATTCTACAGAAAATTTGCGGTGGATTTCTTCAACTAAAAAAATGCATTAACGTTCGAATAATTCAAGAACTCGCCTTAATCCCTCAGTGATGCTAACGAAGGTTTGTTTATGGGTTGCTGCTGAGAACATTATATCATAGAGAATTGCCATGTACGGCGGTTTCTTTGATGTTCAGAGGTTCATATCAACTTTGATCATCATTTCTATTCTTGATTATTATAGCAGTACCCCCTAGTGTTTCTATCACTTCTAGAAAATGTCATTCTTTCAAAGAGGAAGTAGGCAGGCGGAAGGAAATCAAATGAAAATACCAAACTCCACTATAAGTTTTCCATCAATCCAAATGTTCAAAATCATGACAGCACACTGTTTTCACTTGAAGTGAATTGATATTTAGTTAATTGATGAAGAAATCCCTGTAATTATCTATTTTAAATTTCGAGGATCGTGAGTACCCGTACAGTGGATCGGAATAATCGAACAGACTTTCGGAATAATCGAACAGACTTTATGTTCTGTGATAATGGTGGCGACACCATAGGTATGTTTGGTTTTGAAAATCTGGTTCCGAAGAAGCAGATGCAGAACGCTCGATTCTTTCTGAATGACATTTATGGTATTATTTGTCATCACAAAATCTTCAACATATAATTGATGAAGTTTTTTTTACAGCAATACTCCAACTTATAATTTCCTTTCCGGAATGGAACTTTTTTTAGAACTATTCAAGAATGACCATCGTTGAAGAAGTCATTATTATGAGAATGTGTCATAAACTAGTTTCATAAAACAGTGATGTGCAGACAAAGAAGAGTCAAAAATCTCACCAAAACCTAATAATTTTCCAAAAAACATCTGAAACTCAACCAACGTTTTTAAAATGTGACAGCTAAGAAATCTGTCAGTTCTCGTGAATACCGAACATGCCGCAGAGTTAACTGTCGAGCTATTAGAGCAATCCGTGCGCTCGGCTTTGTATCAAACGAACAACCTTATTTTGAGTTTAGCGATTGGCGAACGCATGCGTCTGCAGAACAAATTCATCTGTCATTTAGTATTTGTAACCACGTGTGATTGATAGATAATTGAATTATAATTAGAAAAAATGGCTAAAATAAAAAGCGCAGAAACTCTTTCTTTAGATACGAGTAAGCAGAAAAAAGTATCTAAACAGACCAAAAAGCTGAAGAAACTAATTGAGGTATTTTGACATTTTCAAAATCCAAAATAAAAATGTTTGATTAATCTTTATTATTCCTCTATTTTAGGATGGGTCAGTATCTATTAGAGAAGAGCGAAAAATAAAAAAAGTGACAGCAGAGCAGAAGAGAGGTTTGTTGTTTATTTCTCACCTACCTCATGGATTTTATGAAAATGAAATGAAGAAGTATTTTCAACAATTCGGGAACGTTACAAACGTTAAGGTTTGCCGATCCAAAAGAACAGGAAACAGCAAAGGTTTTGGTTACGTCGAGTTTTCTAATCCAGATGTTGCTAAAATTGCAGCAGAAACCATGAACAACTATTTAATGTTCAAAAAAAGGATAACTAGTAAGTTAATACTTTTCATTAGTTTTTTTTTGTATTGAGTTAATTCAATTTGAATTTTGCAGCTGAGTATATACCTTTCGAGAAGCGACCAAAATGCTTATTTGTTGGTAAAAGTTGTACTCCAACAAGATATTCTTCAAAGGTGAGACGTTCCAAACAATATGAGGCCAACCTCAAAGTTGACGAAAAAGTTCAGTTGCGAAGAAGTAGTTCAAGATTGTCCAAACTGAATAAAAAGTTGAAGAGGTTGCAGGATTTAGGTATTAAAACGACTTTTAAACCTACAGACCTAACCAAGAAAAAGAAGACATAACATCTGATGGCGCCCCCAACCACAGAAAGGTGTCCTAGGATTATAAATTTGTGACGTATTCAATGAGAGATTTACACGTGAAAGTTTACAAAACCGCAACATGTGTTTCGCTATACAGTAGCATCTTTGGGCGTTAGAATACTCTGTATTGTGACTCATGAAGGTGCTATTGTAGAGCAAAACACGTGTTGCTGTATTGTAAACTTTCAACTAAAACTCTCATATTGAAGTGTGTTATTTGAATACATTTCAATGAATTTTCATCAAGTTCAGTTAGTTCTATCATATACATTTGTAATATATCCTTTTTATTTTTAAGTATATTATTTTTTCATGGGGAAGGAACGTTCACTGATCAGGTGCTTACTTCTGACATCAAATAGTCTTTGAAAGAATGGCAAATTTTTATCTAATTCTCACAAAAAAATTGCCAAGTGACCGCAAAAACAGACGTGAGTAAAGATCTCTGCGATTATTGTAAGAAAAATGTGCTGAAAATTGAAATTATAAAATGTGACAAAGTGTAGAAAACAACATAGTTGAAGAAGAGAACACCGCAAATCTTTTAATTTATTCTACAGATTCTTTCAGGGATTTCAAATCAATTTATATCATATTATCTTTGTCAATGATATATCTTGCACGTGTACTGCATCTAATCGTATAATATTATATGCCGATGACACAAATTTTCTCATGTCTAACAAAAATTTAGAGAACCTAGTTACTGATAGTAACTCACCATACAAACTAATTGGCTTCGTTAAGAAGCTGGGTTTATTTGGCCGAGTGTGAATAGGTGTGAGCCACAATAAACCCTTATGGGTTGCGGTGGAGGGTCGAATAGACCCACTCACTTTAGACCTACCTACTGATAGTAACATAGTATCGGCACAACTAAATAATTATTGCAGTGACGATGGCCTTGCATTAAATGCAGCCAAAACACATTACATACAATTCTTACCGAAGAATGTCACGACTGATTTATACGTACGTCTGAATGGGACTTCGTTCCACAGCAAGGAAAGCATGAAATTTCTTGGTCTAACTCTAGACATAAAAATGACGTGGGAACCGCATGTAAGTATGTTCAAAGCTAAGCACCATCTCATATATAATAAAAAATCTGTCTCTATCGAAGTCTTAAGATTAATTTATTTTGGATTGGCGCAATCAGTATTGCAGTATGGCTTGTTGTTCTGGGGCTCTTCAGCACACATTGGTAAGGCATTCATTTCACAGAAAAAAGTATTAAGCAATTTTCAATTTCAAATTTACATTTGTCTTTTGTATTACTTTTTTATGAAGCTGACTAGTCCAACATATTTCTTGCAGGATGTAAGTAATTTCTATTGTTTACATTTGTGTGTGAATTTTGTGGATGAAATAAAGATTATTTTTGTGATTAGACAATGAAAGTCCAAACTAATGAAATGCACCACGAAACATTGATAGACAAATTTCTGATAATCTTCTCAAAGCCACAACTATACAAAAAATTAATTTAACATAGAAAAAGACATGAAAGTAAGAAGACGTTTGACTAGAGGCATGACAGGAAATAGAGATGATTCTTTCTATGGAAGGGATGACAATGAAAAGAAAATTTGGCTATTCCTAACTAGAATTCCAGACACAATTAATGAAGAAAACATAAACTGTTGCACCAACTCCACAAACACAAGTGTAAAAAAACTACCAACCAAAAGTGGGACATCCAATCCTTCATGATCAGTGACCTTATCTCAGAGAGCAAATTTATAAAAATAGTTTTTAGCGAAAGGTGATATACAGTCCCTTCAACTTTGAATTGGGTCAACACATTTAAGACAATAGTCAGAAAAAGAACAGTTTCTGGTAAATATTTCAAAAAGAACACAGATATTCTTGATCTGAATAGAGTTTATTGTAGTTCCCCAAAATAGGAAACTTTTGTCCAATTAAAACGACCGTGTAGGTCTTTCTGTTTCCGACTTAGCGATAATGGGATCACCCAAAAAAACGGCCTGTATATTCAATACTGTGTAAGAATAGAAATGAAACTCAATTTTCACCCAATATAAGTTTACTGAAGTTTCTGGATTTTTGTGTGTGAAACAAATACAAACGTGTGATTATCACATGATTGAATAATTTTCCTGACACTGAGGATAGTAGTAAAAATTCCATCTCAAACCCTTTGAGAGTGTATAACGACAAGACTCTTTCCTTGAGATTTTAATTAGATATGAGTTTACTTTGATGATAATTTTGTACATTTATGAGTATTTAACAAATAGCTTTTCTCTATGAATAATAAATGAAAGAGACAAGTCCTGAAAAACAAATTGCAAACTGTATTAAGTAAAAAATATAATAGCATGAAAATGATAATTTCAAAGTCCTTTGACGTCAAAGTCTGTGAGAAGCTGCATGTTAATAATACTTGATATATATTTCTTACATTGACCCTTTTTACATACATCAACCAACTAACACAGAACACTTATTTTCCAAGAAGCTTATATCTACTCACAGAACAGATATTAAAGAGAATTTGACATAAAAAATTGCTATTCTCAACATGAAGACGTCATGAAAGAAATGAGTGCCTCATTATGAAATGTTATTCAAAACGATACTGCTGAGGTAAGATAAGGGCAAGTCGATATGACTGACAGAAGGAGGAGAAACATCCGATCAAGGAAACATCAAAAGAAATTTGAAAACGACCCCATTCGAAAATTTGCAAATCAAACTTTCAACAGATGACTTACCTGCCGTTCTGTGAGATCCAGCGATACCGAAATTTCATATCTCCTCAGACGTGTCAGATAGTTCGAGTGTATAAATTCCTTTTCCAATTCTCTTATTTGGTTTTTCGTGAAGGCCGTCCTCTCTTTCCTCGGTTTACTTTCAAATTCTGAATGCCTTATATCTGAAATAACATTCGAAATCTGATTATCCACATGTCAGAAAAGAACGAAACTGTTGTTTGCTCCCATTGAGGAAGTGTGCTCTGAATTTGAACCAAGGCCATCGCGAAGTTATGACGAAATTGTCGCAAATCTTGGGGAAAATCTGCCGGTTTCTGATTCATGGCAACTAGGCGATATTTAAGCGGCAGAACTTCTACTTTTTAAATGACACGATTTAGTTGATCATCAAAGAAACCGCTGCTGGATTATTATCGCGCATTTTTTCAAATGAATTGAGTGGGTTTCTTATCAGGCTTTCTGATTCAGTTGTTAGATGAGGGGTCTACCGCGTGTGTTTCTTTATAGCATTTCTTGCATAACACATCCTCAGTATGATCGAATGTGTGAAAATGTATGAGGTTCTTTAAGAAATTTCGTCCGTTTTAATGTCATGTTTCATAAACTACACCATTGTATAAAGATTTCCTGGAGATTTTCTTGTCCAAAATGAGTATTTCAAGTTAGAAAATCAATGAGTTTGTTCCAAAATGCCTATTTTACTTTGATGTTTTGTGATTTGTTATTATTGAATATTAAGTTCCTGTTACAATACTGTATAATATTGAGTAATTTCCGGTGTCCCCATTTAAAAAAGTGGGTTAAAAAATAAAACTTCACTTAGATGGCCATTACTTCAAATCTAGATGTATTTTTCAATGCTGAACAACTTTTCTAAATAACATTTCCCGAGATTTTTGGGACTCTTATCCCAAAATCAAATATTTGAAGGCTCCTCGTCGTACATTACGTTGTTGTACTATATTTTGTTGGTGTATGTTCAGTTTTAGAAGATGCACAAACTTTTATCAAGAATAACTTTTTGTCGAAAAACCCTTAATAAATAAGTTTCCCATGTGGTGTTTTCTTAAAAACCGAGAAAGAATTATTATTGATGTAGATGGTAATATGCTTCAGGTGATCATAATTGAACATATACTTTAGGTAGAGGTTTAGGTAATTTTAGGGAAATTTCATTGGAGCATCCCTTGTTAAGATACAGTCCCTTATAGAGGGTACATAAAATTTCTATAACAATTTTTTTCACAAGCACTAAAGAAGTTACAATATTGAAATCAACCTGACGTTTTGTACTACCAAAAAGACACTCAGCCAGAAATTTATTTGGTTTACCCCATGGTTGTAAGGGGTGGAAAACGCAACCCCTAAAATTTATTTCGATTGTAACTTTCTGTCTTATTATTTGTTTTCATTTCCGATAGCTTGTTTCATTCTAAACAAAAAATGTCTCTTGGGTTTTTTGCCCAAAATAAACCAGTTCGCAGAAAAAAATTATTTTACGAATAACTACAGAGATACATCGTCATAAATGCGAACTGGATTTATTG